AAACTTGCCAGAGAATGTTGTTGTAATTGGCTCTCATACCCAGTTGGACAATCGTAAAGAGAAGGTAAGAGTGTGAGGATTGTATTTAATTAGCTCATTTTAAACTATTTCTTGCAGTCTGACATCAAAACTATATTTTATGTTTTGCAGTCTCATCCCGGTGGTCTTTTGTTTACAAAGTTTGGTTTTAACCAAACCGCTTTGCTTGATCTTGCTTTTCCGGTATGCCAGTTGCCATCATCTTCTACCATTTTTTTTCCTTTGTTGTGTTTATGGGCATGTATCTTGTTCTTTTTATGTGTGTATCCTATTACTGATTCCATTTTTACCCACTTATATTATGATTATCATCATCATCTGCAATCATGTTTTATTCTGTTTTACAATTATGCAAAAAGTGCATAAATTTCTTCGCTGTGCGTCGCATGAGAGCATTTCATTAGTTTTTATTCTATAACTATATTATTTTCGGATTAACTTAATTTCCTATCTGTTTGCTGGATGATTTGTGTTTAACTTCATCTCTCTATCTCTCTCATATGCAAATGTACACAAATTCCTTAAGGTCAATTGAAACAATCCGAGGATGGGGCTCTGTTCCTGTTGAAATATGAAATTCACCCGTATTTTGTTATCACGTAGGATCACATCCAGTAGATCAGCGTGCAATTTTTTCCTAGTGGTAGTCTGGAACTATTACTGTCAATGTTTATTCACAAGTTGTTACCTGCTTGTTCATAGATGATAGTAATTTTGCCTTAAAAATTAAGATGACACATTTATTGCTGGTGTTCAGGATAACCTTGGTAGGCTGCATGATAGGAGCAAAGAAACTCCTAAAACCATGAAGCAACTCACTCGGATTTTCCCCAACAAGGTGATGATACAGCTGCCTCAGGTAATGATCCTTTTTCTTATATATATATATATATATGGTCATTTTGCTATTTGCTATTGCGTGAATGATGTAGTATTTTCGGCTATCCTGGTAGGATGAAGCTTTACTTTCAGACTGGAAGCAGCAGTTGGAACGTGATGTTGAAACTTTGAAAGCACAGTCAAATATTGTTAGCATTCGCTCAGTGAGTACATCTTATCACATTTCTATTTCTTCCTTTATGCTGGTGGTGGTTTTGTCTTGAAAATATGTTTCTACATGTACAATTTTATTGATTCAAACTCTGGACTGTTTTTGACTTTCTTGCAGTGTATGTAGTTTTCTCTTGTATACTGTTCACACACTCTTGTGCACGTATTCAAACACATGAATATCAAGATGGATGCACATGTGTTTGCTAACATGCATCTGCATACAGTGATTCAGTTCCCTGATAATATGTCTTATAACTTATTTTTACTTAGCTTTTAGTGGCTAATAGTGTGTTTTACTGTTTGCTATTTTGGTTCTTGATATTTACATAAAGCATTATAATTTCAGGTTCTTAACCGTATTCGTCTGGATTGCCCTGACCTTGAAAATCTGTGCATCAAAGATCTTGCTCTTACAACTGAGAGTGAGTTTTCTTGAACTTAAATCTTGTAACATAGAACATTTTGCAGGGGGTCTTGACTGGAATATTCACTTATGCTTTTTATATCGTTTTTTCACCAGGTGTTGAGAAAGTAGTAGGCTGGGCCTTAAGTTACCATTCTATGCATTGTTCCGAGGCTGTGGTTAAAGATGACAAACTCGTTATATCTAGTGAAAGGTTGTACTGTGTTTTATTACAGTATACTTTAGATGTACTGCCTATTCTCTTCATCTAATGATATTCATTATGTTTTTATGATACAGTCTTCAGTATGGACTGAACATTTTACAAGGCATTCAGAATGAAAACAAGAGCATAAAGAAATCACTCAAGGTATGCAGATTGTTTACTGTAGAACTACCTATAAATGCTTTGCTCTTTCTGCTCTCTGAGGATGCAAGGAAAATTTGATTTTTTTTTCCTTCTTATGATCAAGAATTTTAGTGTATTTGTACTGGACTTGACTTCACGAGAGTTTGCAGGATGTGGTTACAGGAAACGAATTTGAAAAAAAACTTCTTGCTGATGTAATTCCACCGAGTGATATTGGGGTTACTTTTGATGACATCGGGGCCTTGGAAAATGTGAAGGACACCCTAAAGGAGTTGGTGATGCTTCCTCTTCAGAGGCCTGAATTGTTTAGCAAAGGACAGCTGACTAAGGTAGAAGCATGACCTTTTTATGTCTGTGTTTCCTTTCTCCCCTGTGGAAAGTGAAAATCTTAGTTAATGCTTCTTCTGCATGTTTGTCTTTTGATTATCGTTACTTTTTCTACAGCCTTGCAAAGGAATCTTGCTGTTTGGTCCTCCGGGTACTGGAAAGACAATGCTTGCAAAGGCTGTTGCAACTGAAGCTGGTGCAAACTTTATTAACATATCAATGTCGAGTATTACTTCAAAGGTATTTGTTCATATTGTGGTTGCTGGATGTTTATTTTGTGAGATTTCTTGAATCCATGACACCTTTTAACTTTCGTTGCAGTGGTTTGGGGAAGGAGAGAAGTATGTTAAAGCAGTGTTCTCTTTAGCAAGTAAAATTGCTCCTAGTGTTGTTTTTGTTGATGAGGTTGGTGCAATACATCTATATATTTGTGCTATGTCCAGGGGACTTGTTCTTTCTCCTCATTTTCCTTGAGTTTTTCTCATTGGAAAATTTTATTTATACAAAGAGTTTTGCTGAACTGTTTTATAAGCTGACATGGTGAGTGAGTTCGCCCCACTCATTAGTATACACCTAGAATGCACCAATGTGTTTGGCAGGCCACTAGTGGATTTTGAAGTGGCCTTGTCATGAAAGATGCCATGCCAGTTTAGAAGAGAATTATAGATTCTTTTTGTTGTTTTTGTTTCAATCAATTTTCTTCTATGCAAATGATTCTTATTTACGGCTACTGTTGTAGGTTGACAGCATGTTAGGAAGGCGTGAAAACCCTGGGGAACATGAGGCTATGCGTAAAATGAAAAATGAGTTCATGGTGAACTGGGATGGTCTGCGTACAAAGGATAAAGAACGTGTATTGGTACTTGCTGCTACTAATAGGCCTTTTGATCTTGATGAGGCTGTTATTAGGAGGCTTCCGAGGAGGTAAAATCGTATGTTTTTGCCTTTACTACATCTGTTATATGTCAATGCAAGTTTCACTAACTTCCTATGTACGATATTAATTTGTGTGCAGATTGATGGTGAACTTGCCAGATGCCCCAAACAGAGAGAAAATACTGAGAGTCATACTAGCCAAAGAAGATTTTGAACCTGATGTTGATTTGGAAGCAGTTGCAAATATGACGGATGGGTATTCTGGAAGTGACCTAAAGGTTGCCTACTAATTTTTTTGAGACCATATATGCTCCTTGGATATATTTTCTTTGATTTTTTCCTTCCAAAAATTTTATGTAATAGATTGTCTTGATTTCTTTTGTGGTTGCAGAACCTGTGTGTTACTGCAGCTCACCGCCCCATTCGAGAAATTTTAGAGAGAGAAAAAAAGGTTGGTTTTCTGGAAGTAACATTTGATTTTTTGAACTTTAAGTGGTGTGGTTGGTTATAAGTTTTCTTTCTCCACATATCTCAGGAGAGAAGTTTAGCTGTGGTGGAGAAGAGACCTCAACCTGAGTTGTATTGTAGTTCCGACATCCGCCCTTTGAAGATGGAGGATTTTAAACATGCGCATGAGCAGGTATGTTTTAGGCTTTTTGGTTGTTGCAGTGTTTACCTGCGGCGTTCGGTTGTCTTGGAACTTTGGTTGTTTAATATTGAACTCAATGCCACCAGGTATGTGCAAGTGTATCATCAGAGTCGACAAATATGAGCGAGCTCCTCCAATGGAATGACCTATATGGAGAAGGTGGATCCAGAAAGAAGAAATCTCTCAGCTATTTATATAGTAGATATATTTTTTTTTCTTTCTTTTTTTTTTTTTTTTTTTTTTTTTTTTTTTCGTGTATAGAAGTCCTTCGTCCTGCTTAAAGAGGCGTGGCAAGATGGGATCTTACTTAGATATCCATTTAAATCCCATTGCAGGTCATGTTCCCATTTGTATGATATATATAGGTTTTTTTTTCTTACCTTTTCTTTTAATTTACTTTTAACATGTCTGTTAGGAATGTCGTTTCTCAATTCATATTATTCAGTTACCTGACTAGCCTTTTCTCTTTGCTATTAGGCCTTTTGCCTGCACATACTACTAAATGAGCAATGGAAAACCCATTTACAATTCTTTTTTGGGCTGGACAACCTTTTGTCTGCTTATTTACCACCTTCATGCATAATTATATCGGAAGACAGCTAGTGAAAGAGAAATAGTTATCAATGGACCTTTCTGATACTGTTATGAGGTGTGGTAGTTTGATCAATTGCAGAGTTATTAATAGACGGCTGAATTTTACTTTCGAGTCAATGACCCCTTGGTCAATTTGATTTATTTTTAAAATAAAAAATAGGGTCCGGCATTAACAACCGACGACTTCTGGGCAGTCACTGTGTGCGGCGAGAGGTTGAACAAGGGTTCTTCTTTCTGTTTATAGCTCGTAGGTCTGACGGTGGATGACATGTTGATATATTTTTGTTCTTTCTAATTATTCTTATTAATTATAAAATTGATGAACTGTAACCCAAAGTGTCTCTCTGGAAAAGATCATAGGAGAGATAAATTTTTTAAAAGAAGTCAAAATGGATAAAATTGTCCTTATTTATTTTTGGATTTCTTAAGGAATTTTTTGAATAAGCTTTAGTTTTTTTCAAAAGTAAAATTTTTTTTGTGGCTAAAATTTAAATTTAGCAATATGGTCAAATTAGCATTCGAGTGAATGGACCACGTCCACCTCCGTGTTTGACTTAATAATCCCCACGCCTTGGTTTTTTTATTGCATTCGTCTGCACTCAACCGAATTCAATTCAATTCAAACTGAAGAACCTCAAAACCAAACCAACAGAAAAAAAGAAGCCAATAAAGCGAGCAAGTGTACCGCCATGGAGCTCATGTCTCATTCCTCAACCTTTCTCCTCCCTACGATCCCACCGTCTCCAACCTGTGCGCTTGTGGTGCTTAACCAGAGCCTCCCGAGATTCGCCCCTCTTCTATGGAAGCACGGTACTTGTTCCTGCACCTTCACCTTTATTTTCTTTTTCCAGTTTTCACCTTTTCAATTTGTTTCTCTAAGCATTTTGTGGTGCGTGTTTGTTTAGAGCAGCACAACTACGTTTGTGTGCCGACGGCGGAGCAAATCGCGTTTACGATGACATGCCTCTTCTGTTGCCTCATGAAAACGCTTTCGATGTTCGGAAAAGGTTTTTATTTTCTTATTTTTTGCTCTAAAGTATGGTCTCTGATTGGTTCGATCCTTCCGCTGTTAGTTTAGTTGTCAAAGTTGATTCTTTAAGGAAGTTGTTCCTTTTCCAGACCGCTTTTTGTTGTTTGAAGCAATTTTTGCTTATTTACTTAATTATTCCCCTTTAAATTTAAGCCTTGGGGCAGCTTACTTTATAATTTCTAGTGTTTTTTGTTTACTTATCGAATAATTGGTGGGGTATTGACTGGAAGACATGTAATGGAGTTTGATTGACCTTTGCCCCTGTACTTTGCACTATAAATAGAACAAATCTCTTCCTGAAAAGTGATTAGATGACCTTTGCATCTACTTTTGATACAAAGTGCTGATTTTTGTTCCAGGTACAAGCCTGACGTTATTAAAGGTGACATGGACTCAATCCGAAAGGAAGTCTTGGAATTTTATGCTAGTATGGTAAGTGAGCTTGTTTGAACACCAATCTTCTGCATAATTCTCGATATCTTTAGCTATCATTCTTGTTTTCATATCTGGAAAGCTTGAGGAAGCGATTGATGATGTTGTCCTTTAGAGTTATTTGGAAGATGATTCACCATCCTATATATGAATAACTTCATAGGGACTGATTTTTTTGATGCTTTTTATTATGTTTTTGTGGTACTTTTGCTCCTCGACATGTGGTGCTCTGGTGTTTTCTCAGGTTGTCTGTGTTTGCTATTTGAATGCAGGGAACCAAGATAATTGATGAATCTGATGATCAGGATACCACCGATCTACATAAGTGTGTAGCATATATACGTGACTGGGCACCAGACCTAGATAAATCCAATGTAAGTTGCATGTTATAATCACTCATAAATTCTTTTTATTACTCCTGTTTTGAACTTACGCTGAATTTCTAGGCGCTTTAGTTAAACTTGCCGTAACCAAACACTGTCCTCGCAACTTATTTGGAATTGAGTAGTCAAATTGATTGTTTCCAGATATTGACACTACTAAATTGATTGCTAGTTTAGTATGTCTCTCATATTTGTATAGTAGCTGAGTTTCTTATCGATGTATTTCCAGCTATGCATTCTGGTTGCTGGGGCACTTGGTGGACGGTTTGACCATGAGATTGGAAACATCAATGTGTTATGTCGATTCTCAACCATTAGAATAATTCTTATATCCGAAGATTGCCTCATCCATCTTCTTCCAAGGACACACCACCATGAGATTCATATTCAACCCACCGTTGAAGGCCCTCACTGTGGACTTATACCCATTGGGATGCCATCTGGAAGTACTACAACCACCGGGCTTCAATGGGATCTTGGTGAGTATTTCTTAAGTCATAAGGCTAGTAAATGCTTGCTTTTATTGGGAAGACCTAAGAGAACTTCCTTAGAAAATACTTGTCTGCTCACCACTGTTGCATGTCACCTACTCCTGTTCTTCCCTTCTTAAACATGACCAAAAGGGGAAAGACTACCTAAGTATTGATTTCATTGTTCATGTGCTGGGTGGTCTAATAACCCCCTGTAAGGTACAAGTGTGGCCAGACTACCCAAGTATTTTGAATGGGAGCCATGTGTGTAACTCACTAAAACTTTCTGTTCTCTACTGCACTTACAGTTTGTATCCCTATTGGGACTTGGGTTGAGGGCTTTCTTCTTAGGTGTGGTATGACAGGGATGCCACAGGGTGAAATTTTCTGTATCTGTTGTTCGTAGCTATGCAATTTGTTACGGGAATCTAACTCAATCTTGCTTTTCCTGTCCAGCTGAAACAGAGATGAAGTTTGGTGGTTTAATCAGTACTTCAAATATTGTCAAAGGAGAGAAAATCACCGTACAATCTGATTCAGATCTTCTTTGGACTATAAACATTAAAAAGCTGTAGTGCAGCTAGAGATGAGGTGCACAAGCCACAGATCACGCAATCTTTTCGTGAGTTTCCAGGGTTCCTTTTATACGTATACGCTAGGTATTCGTTGTTTAAACTCCATCCAATCAGTTTGTATTTTTGTAATTATTCCAAATAAGGTATCTTTGTTATGTCAAAGATGCTGGATTTCTCAGCATCGAGTTGTTTATATTTCCTTTTCATTCTTCGGTTTAGAAACGAAGCCGAATTATATTCTTTTCACCGAACAGTGAACAGGCAAAAGTTCTGTTGGAAATGGTTCTGTTACAGATGGCTATTGCCCATGTTAATTACAGGGATGATCATTGAAACCCAGCCTCCATCACCGTGCATTGCGCCGCATCTTTTGATGCCAAGTTTTGTACGATTAAGGAAATCAATTAAGATTAAGATTTTGGGAAAATTAATTTTGATCCCTTCCAATGTCAAAAAGAAAAAGAAAAAGGTTACCGAAATTCCTTTTATCACTGTTCAACAAGTTGAGAAAAGTTTAAAAATAAAAATAAAAATACCAGCTACGCCGCTTAAGGGACTGAGACGTTAGCTTCGCCAGCATAAATACCGATACCGTCACCATTTCAACGGTTCCGCTTCAGTTTTGGCGGCAAAATCCGAAAGGTCAATTTTACACTCATAAATCCCTTTTTTTCCCACTCAGAATCAAGAACAAGCATTTTTCCAGTGAATTTCTAGCCAGAACAGTGTCGTATCCATGAGCTGAAGTTTGAGGTTTATGAATTAGGGTTTCAATGGAGGCAACAACTCCATCCGATTCTCCAACCATAAAACCCATAAACAAGGGCGTGGTGCACAGAATCTGCGCTGGCCAAGTGATTCTAGACCTCTCGGCCGCCGTGAAAGAATTGGTCGAGAACAGCCTCGACGCTGGCGCCACCAGCATCGAAATTGCGCTCAAAGACTACGGCAAAGAGTGGTTCCAAGTCATCGACAATGGCTGTGGCATTTCGCCGAACAACTTCAAGGTCCTTGCCCTCAGGCATCACACTTCCAAACTGGTCGGTTTCCCTGACCTCCAGTCTCTGACCACGTTCGGGTTCCGAGGCGAGGCCTTGAGTTCTCTGTGTGCGTTGGGGAATTTGACAGTGGAAACCAGGACGAAGAACGAGCCCGTTGCCACGCACTTGACTTTTGACCATTCGGGTTTATTGGTCGCCGAAAAGAAGACGGCCAGGCAAGTCGGGACTACCGTCACTGTGAAGAGCTTGTTTTCGAATTTACCAGTGCGGTGCAAGGAATTTGGTCGCAACATTCGGAAGGAGTACGGAAAGCTTGTTTCCTTACTGAATGTGCGTGAGTTATAACAGAACACATTGGCCTTTCTTTATTATTATGTTATATTGAATTTTAGTCTATCAAATCTTATATCATTTCTTATGATATTTGAATTTTAGGCCTATGCCCTTATTGCGAAAGGAGTTCGCATCGTCTGCACCAATGCCACCGGTAAAAATGTGAAGTCTGTGGTACTTAAAACACAAGGAAGTGGTTCCCTTAAGGATAACATTGTGACACTTTTCGGTATGAGCACGTTCAATTGCTTAGAACCTGTGAGTATATCTGTTTCTGAAAGTTGCAAGGTTGATGGTTTTCTTTCCAAGTCTGGACAGGGTAGTGGGCGAAATATGGGAGATAGACAGTTCTTTTTTGTGAATGGTAGACCAGTGGATATGCCTAAAGTTACCAAGCTTGTGAATGAGTTATATAGAGGAGCAAACTCCCAGCAGCATCCCATTGCAATAATGAATTTTACTGTTCCAACAAGAGCCTGCGATGTGAATGTAACTCCTGATAAAAGGAAAGTGTTCTTTTCTGATGAAAGCTCCATACTGATTGCCCTAAGGGAGGGTCTGCAGCAGATATATTCTCCAAATAATGCTCGTTTCTCTGTGAATAAAGTTGAGGAGCCTGCTAAGGAACCAGGTAGGTCTGAGTTGTGTTCTCCTCGTCAAAAGTCTCATAAGTTTCTGAAACAATCATCTACGGATGACAGTGTTCCTGAAGAAGCGGGCATCCCCACCCCGGAGGGTTTGCAACAGAGATACTCTCCAAGTAATGCTCATTACTCTGTTAATGAAGTCGAGGAGGAGCCCACTATGGAAGCAGGTAGGTCTGAGTTCTGTTTCCGTCGTCAAATGTCTCGTATGCCTCCAAGACAGGTATCTTCAGATGACAGTGTTCCTGAAGAAGTTCATGTTGAGGATCAGATTGCAGAGGGCAATGCTCCTCTGAAAGCTCTTGAAACTGACTCTGAGTGCAATCATGATGCAGAAGGGTCGAGCCAGGGAAATTCAATGGGAAAAGACTTCGCTTTAAAGGTCCACAGCATTAAGAAGGTTGATGGTAGTACGCAATTGATAAGACATAGCAATAGGATGGCAACTGATCGAACCCATTCTCTTTCAACCATCGTTGAGAATGGAAATTCATGTAGTCGTTCAAACTGTGTTCAATCATCGCTTAACCAATTTGTAACTGTAAATAAAAGAAAGCATGAAAATATTAGTGCAATGCTATCTGAAATGCCTGTCCTAAGGAACCAAGCTCTTCAAACTCAATCCAAGAATAGCACCTTTGATTTGCTTGTCGCTGTTTCAAAATCTCCAGTTAAACATCACCAGGCTGATGATTCTGCTGAGGTTGATAATTGTGCTGAAGTTGATGGGAATGTGCCATCCAAGTATCTGAGAGCAGACAAGATCCTCAATAAAATCAGATGTCCAGTTTCTTCTGGAGGCAACTCTAAAGATGAAGAACTTGAAGAGGTAAGTGGGTTTATACCAAATTTTCTGAACTTGTTTGCTTTGAGCTTAACATGTACAAGACTAACAAGTTTCTCTTTAGTTAATATTAAAATCATTGAAAGCTAAGGAAGTTAATGTCTGGTGTTTTATGGCCCTAGAAGGTGCCATCATGTCCTCTTTGTGTTATAAATTTGAAGGTTATTTTACACCTTTTACAGTAAAGGTTTGGCTACTTTGAGAATTATGGTATATTTGTATCCTTATCAAAAAAAGAAGGAATATTTGTAGAAAATATGTAGAAAAATTATGAAATCACTAAACCAATACCAATGCAGATTAGCTGCCTTTAGTTCAGCTTTTAGGCAGAAAATGTTGTATGATATCTTCATCATATATGGTTGTGCATGACATTTCTTGTTAGATATGAGGAAAAAATAACTCTTTCTTAGGCCCTCTTTAAACTGTGACGATGACTTCGGTATGCTTATGTTACCCTTCAGTTTTCTTGCTCCCAACTGAAGTTTAAACCTTTTGGTGTCCAACTTGACTATTTTTCATTACAGGATTTACAAGCTCAACAGAAAGCAGACCCTCTTTCTAATATGGCATCAACTGCTTCACCTAGCGGGGATCTTAAAAGTTTGTCTGAAGATCTTCCTGTTCCAGCTCCATCACCTTCTTGTATACTGTCAGACACTCCAAAGCCAAAGCCTTCTTCTGGTCTTATGATGCATTCCACGTTGCAATTTAGTTTTCAAGAGCTAAAGACAAGGAGGCAGCAGAGATTGTCTAGACTGCAATCAAGCATGCCTGGAGGAGTAAAAGCACAAAGGTTTCAGAGTGATAACATTTGAAGGTGGCAAAATATTTTTACGTTCTGTTTTTTATGGGATTGATTTGTACGGCCATTGACAGGTGCTATGCTGCTGCAACATTGGAGCTTTCTCAACCAGAAAACGAGGAGCGCAAAGCAAGGGCTTTAGCTGCAGCCACTACTGAGTTGGAAAGACTTTTTAGGAAGCAAGATTTTGGTAGAATGAAGGTAGTTGTTTGCATTAACTCCTCTTTTATGCACTTCTGTGCTATTACTAAAATCAGCTTTCGTTGACTGGATGATGTTATCATTTCTTATTTTCTCTTTTCATTCTACTTTTGCCTCTTCTCTTTTAATTTCTAAACCTCTTTGATCATGCTTTAGTTGCAATCTGACCTTTTCGATGGACATATGCATGTTTTCACCTGCCTGAGATGTAGTTTTGGAGGCTGTGGGTTTGTTGGGTTAGACTATTTGATCCATAGCAGGACGGGACAGGACAGTCTAAGAAGCATATCTACCCCCACCAAAAATCATAAACACTACGATTACCTACTAAACTGCATGCATGCTTGGGATTTCTCATTATGTTTAACTGGTGCTGACCTCCAGTTGCTTCCCAATTCTTAGGTGATTGGGCAGTTCAATCTTGGCTTCATCATTGGGAAGTTAGATCAAGATTTATTTATTGTGGATCAGGTATTTATCATCAGCTTCAGAATTAGTTTTATGTTGGGTGATGCATTCTTGTTAGTTCTTCCTTCTTCTAATTTTTGCACTGTGTTAACTTATATACCTAAGTGAAAAATGGTACTTGATATTGTGTTTTCTCTTTCCAGCATGCAGCTGATGAGAAGTACAATTTTGAGCGTCTGTCACAATCTACCATCTTAAACCAACAGCCTTTGCTTCGGTGAGTTATAGTTTTTGATTACCTCTATTGGGTATATCCTTATCCCTCAGGATATACTATGTTTGACCTCAAAAAGAAAAGAATGTAGGATTATTTCTGCAGTGGGCTAAATTATTGAATAGGTCACCTCTGTCAAACCATGTATGCATCCAAGAAAAAATCTAGTGAGTCACCTAATATTCGGCATATGATGATTTTAATTTTTTGGTGTTTTGCAGCATCACATTAGTAATGGTTTCAAATGATCCTTCCTTGCGATTTCTTATATTGGTCCCACTGCTTTTGAATTCACACATTATTTTTCAATGTCAATCTTTGGGATAAGGAAAACCAATCTGTACACATTATTTTTCAATGTCACTTTTCTTTTCCATTCTTTGTGTTATTCTTGTTCTGCTTATGCAAAGGATTTGTTCTCTCTTTAAATCAGAGATCAAGTTCTGAAAGTTCACTTCCACATTTGAGTATGTAGGCCATTGAGGTTGGAGTTATCTCCTCAAGAAGAAGTGGTAGCTTCCATGCACATAGACATAATCAGGTGCAAACTCTGTCCGACTATTTTCTTTTGTGCATATCTTTATTCATTAATAAAAAAGGTTTATTTTCACGGACTCTGGTTCCTATCTTAGGAAAAATGGATTTTCTTTGGAAGAGGATCCACATGCTCCACCTGGGCACCATTTCAAATTGAAAGCTGTCCCCTTCAGTAAAAACATAACTTTCGGAGTTGAAGGTACCGCTTGTTTGGAAATCTTCCATGTTGTTAATTGTAGAATAGTGTAACATAAGAGTCTCCATGAATATAATATTTGAAATGTTTAGTTCGAGAGTCTGGGAGTGACTGATTAGCAATGGAGTCTGGGAATGTAACTAATATGTGCATTTGAATGTCCAGATGTTAAGGACCTCATTTCCACTCTTGCTGATAGTCATGGGGAATGCTCAATCATTGGTAGTTATAAGATGGACACTGTTGATTCTGTTTGCCCATCTAGAGTTCGCGCAATGCTGGCATCACGCGCTTGCAGATCATCCGTTATGATTGGAGATGCCCTTGGAAGAAATGAGATGCAGAGGGTAACAACCTTTAATATAACTTTGCATTACTGTTGATCCTCCACCTGATTCGTAACCACCAACCCAGCTCTTCCAGCCCTTTTTAGTGAAGCATAGCTGTAGACTATGAGAAATTTACCAATGCTGAAGCCCTGATATCCTTGTGAGTTGGTTTGAAACGGTCACATCTTCTGACTTAATCCCCCTGTTTCAGATTCTGGAGCACTTGGCAGGTCTGAAGTCTCCGTGGAATTGCCCGCATGGCAGACCAACTATGCGCCATTTGGTTGACTTGAAAACCATAAGAAGGTCGGAAGAAGAAGATGATGCAGACTCTTGATGGAACTTACCCGAACCTGGACTGACCTCCTTATGGTCACTAACTTATTTTGTACCAAAAAATACTGGCGCTCGTGCACATATTAGTGTTGTCTATTGTACTTCAGGGGCTGGGACTCTTGGTTCTCTTCACATATTTTGATTTCCCCTGTTACTAAACTAAAACGCCATTATGGCATTTGATTGATACTCCCGCAATCAGAATTTGGACCTTTTCGTGCCTTATTTATCCATATATCTTATAATTCTTAAATAAATACAAGGGTGGAATGGGGGAAGCCAAAATATAAAAAGGATGTAACATTTGAGTTTTTTTTAGGGAGTTTCACTAAAACACCCAAAATGGAGGTTGAAATTATAAAAAAAACCCAACACCCAAAACACTTTATAAACACACCCAAAACCCATCATTACACACACTCAAAACCTATTTATAAACACACCCAAAAAGTTGACTTTGGGGTTGATTTTGGGTGTGTTTCTATGTTTAAATAGTGCTTGGGTTTTTTTATAAATACATGTATAGGATTGGGTTTATTTATAAATTTGTATTTTTTTTATATATATAAAAAAAGAGAGGATATAATATTTGATATAAAAAAAAAGGATGTAATATATAAAACAGAGGGAAAAATAAATTGTGTACGGAATACAGACACTTATTTAACCATTGGGCAACGGTTGAACCCAAAAAAAAGTAAAAATAAATGAAAACCCTTTTTAAACCTTTAAGTAAACGAAAGAGAAGGGAGATAAAGGCCACTTCTCTCTTGTTTTAACTTGTATAGAAAGCCCGCTCCATACTCATAAGAGAGAATAGAGGGTCGTTGGGAGCGGAAGCAAACCGCGGAAACGTTACTTCCTCGCGATCCAAAGCTGTTTACTGGTAATCTTCTACACTCTTCAGCTAGGATTTCCTTACCGTATCCTCTTTTTGGCTAAGAACAACGCCTTTTCCAATTTCAAATTTTTTAGGGTTTCTTTTCTTTTCTTTTATTTTTTCGTTTCTAAAATTCTCACTGACTTTGGTTGCAGGTCTCTTTGGTTCTTTTAGTCTGCTTTCTGAGCCCTTAAAGATGGTATGTTTCTCTTTCAAATTATTTGTATTTTGTTCTACCGTTTGTTTGGTTTCTCAGAAAACGGAGGAAACTAAACGGTGTATAACCGTGCCTTTTTTTTAATAATAAAATTCGAATAATGAAATCAAATGAAATTTTAGGGCTTCGTTTTCCTTTCTTGTTTTGAGCTTTTAATTACGTTTTTCCTTTTCACCATTGCAGCTCCCTCTATCTTTGCTGAAGACTGCCCAAGGGCACCCCATGGTAAGATCTTTACCTCTTTTGTGGTAGTTCCAGACTCAGAATCACTATTTAACATAGTACGATGTTTGGATTGTCCATTGAGATTTTAATTTGAAGTTTTTCTTTGCTATAACAGCTGGTTGAATTGAAAAATGGGGAGACCTACAATGGCCATTTGGTCAACTGCGACACTTGGATGAACATCCATCTTCGAGAAGTCATTTGTACCTCCAAAGTGAGTCTATATCTTGTATTCTTGAAGTTGGCTGGACTTGAAAATTTAAATTAATTCTTATATAAGAGACTCATTTAGTTTTATTGGAATACTGTGTAGGATGGAGACAGGTTTTGGAGAATGCCTGAATGTTACATCCGTGGGAATACGATAAAGTATCTTAGAGTTCCTGATGAGGTATGCATTGATGTTTCTACAGCTTTATTGTCTTTAGCAAGGGAGCACATCTCAGGATCTAACATAACCAGTTTTGGAGTATGGTTCATGGATACAATTCTTATCTCCCAAAAATAAAAGGCCTGAATGAAATTTACATTATACTTTGTGGGGGACCCATGTGGAACTTTATAAAATCCTTTGACAGAACCTTGTTACGTTTTGCTTGATTATGTCTACCATTGGAAAATGGTAACACATGCAATAGGAATTTTTACTTGAGCATTCTTCCAGTTATTTGCCCAGATTTTTTTCGAATGCTTTAGAAGCCTATCGGAATGATCTAGTTCTGTTGCTTTTGTATTTCAGGTGATAGACAAAGTTCAAGAAGAGACCAAGAGCCGTTCAGGTATGATAATGATGTTTTACTTTGCGAAGGCAGGTTTTTTTTTATTCTCCCTCCCTCCATCCAAAGTTGGAAAAAAGATTTCTTGGAGCATTCTCTATATATCTGCTCTCAACATTGGACAAACTATTTATGTTTATTTGCAAGGATAAAGCTTTATGCATTGAGATAAGTAGAAATTGCTCTAACTTTATGCGGTTTGATAAACTTCTCCAGATAGGAAACCACCTGGAGTAGGACGTGGAAGAGGAAGAGGAGGTAGGGAGGATGGTCCTGGTGGACGTCAGGCAAAAGGCATTGGACGTGGCCTAGATGATGGTGGTTCTAAGGGTGCTGGTGGAGGCCGAGGCAGAGGTGGACCAGGTGGGAAGGCCGGTGGAGGCAGAGGTAACATGTTTGCCCATCTTTCCCCCTTTTGTACTCTAGGAAGAAAAGAGAGTTCAATTGTCATATAAGTTGATCCTTTGTTGGGGTGATTACTTTATGAGTATAAGCACCATGCAATTTTGGATCTTTTTGTCATAAACTCTCTCCAGGGATGACAGCTTAGCTTAAAGTTGTGAATTTCTGCTGGCACAAGGCTTATTTTCTTGTTTTTTCTGTCAGGTGGAGGACGAGGACGAGCGTGATTATGCTTATAATGTGAAAAGAGCTTCGATGGGCGAGTTGCTACTTTTAAAGGCATTTTGGCCCAACTCTCATGTGAAATGTCTGGGGTTTTTTTGGTTGTGATGCTTCTTATTATGGTAGTGCGATTTAGATGGCATGGTTCTTTCGCTCCAATGTAGCCGATGTGTCTGTTTCCTCTGGTGGGCTTGAAAATTTTATCTTGACAATGTTATCATATTTTTGCACTTATTACTCTGTCCGTTGCTCCCTCTTTCCGTTTTTTTGTTCCTAATTTCAACTGGTAATATATGGGTTCCTCAGTCATGCAAACTCGTTCAGACAACATAATTTATCTTCACAATCCAATAGTATAGCCTACTCTGGTGAAACTAATTGAATCATGCTCAAATGTGCTGACTAATAAAACCTTGAAAGTCATTGTAAATGGTGGATAGATAATACAAATATGGTACAGAAATTTCAGTCACTAGGAAACTTTGATCCTTACAATTTTTTTAAAAATAAATAAAATTACAGGAAAAGCAAATAAACTTTATAGTTAGAAAAATTTAAGTCGTTTTCCTAGTAGGGATGATGCCTTATTGTGTGGCGGGTCCTTGGTGATCTCAAAACCAGTGTGCTTGAAATCCATGATCGGTTTATCTCAGGAGAATTATCGGATGACCAGCAACATAAGCGGCCATCTTCTCCACCAGTCCATCCAAAAATGCCATTGCTTTGACCTTGGCTGGACCTGCCCGGCATGCTTGACATGGGTAACACACTTCGAACAATACCTGTATGTCCACCTCCAAGAACTGCTTCAGGGGACCCTATAGCCCTCGTTCCTCTATAACTTACAGGAAAGTAACCCAAAGTGCCAGTATTCGTGCCACCAATTACCCATAATTGTTCTGCTTCTCTCGCGTAGTGGCAATCAACAAAATAATCAACCTGCCAGAAAAAGTTCAATTGACTTGGCTAAAAGTAGAAGCATTTTTTTTTCATGCTAAAATGATATTTGGTTGGGAAATTGTGTACGAACTGAGTTTATCCATGTCCTCCAAATTAATGGCATACAAGATACATTTCAAATATGAATCTGTTGGACAGAACAACTTACATCATCCAGTGTCCAGCAGTCAGAAGCCAAAGAACGAGCATCCTTGAAATTTGTTTCACTTCCATCTTTCCAGTCCCAGATACTACATGAGTGAAAAGAGAGTAAAATATCTGCATCTTGCAGGTTACAAGTTGGGGGAGAAAACAGAGTAAAACATAAGCATCACATGCAAATATTTGAAATCAAATGCGAAGACAGCTGTTCAAAGCTCGTAACTTCAAGCCTGTTTCCCGAGTTGGTCTACTGATGGTGAAAGATGCAAATCACTAGACAATCCACTATGATTACAATTTACAAGACCAAAGTCTAACAGTAGTAAATTCATGATTAAATTATAGAAAGAGGTACCTTAAGGTTTCAATATGGGTCAAACACCAAAGCTTTTGATACGTCTCTCCAAAAAACCCAACCTTCCCAACTGAAGTTCCCACATTAAGCACCTAGGTTATTGAGAAGGTAAATTATTATGACAAGCTTGAACTATAAATTATGTTACATAAAACTATAAATTTTGAAACTCTACAAACTTGAACTTACTGATTCCAGATGATCATCATCATTGATATCCCCATCTGTATCAAATACACATATCAATCCATCGACAGAAGCAGAAAGAAGCTTGCTTTGATGGTCAGGAATGAAGTGAACCTATGGAAAACATAAAAGTTAAATATTCTGCTCTGCGCTGTCGCATAAGCACACCCGTTACAATGCAACTTGGTGAAAGATTAAAGTCACAACAGCTAAAGCTAAACTACCCAATCCATGATACAAGTATATGGTCAAATGTTGCAAGTGACAATTGCCAAGAGTACCAGTCTACATATAAATGAAATCAGACAGGAAATCCCAGCATAATTTACCAGGCCATCCAAATGCTGTGACGGTCAGGAACCCATGGATACAAGATTGGATGAGTAAATGGCTGAAACAAACAGCTCATGCATTAGAACCAACCTGGGTAACATCTTCTACATGAGAGTCCTCCAGGCATGCGACTTGTTTATCATTCCTCCAATCCCAGAATAGTATCTGATATAGCAAGTCATACAGCAAGAAGGGAGAAAACAAATTATATGGAGTCCATCGAAATAAGCAAGGATAAGCAAACATAAGCATATGGACTTAAAATAGTTTTCCATCCAATCAGTTTCAGAAGACTAAAGAGTGAATGTGAAACATTGAGCGGATTATCCTCTGGAATTTTAGAACAAAAACTAACATACACTCTTCCTTCAATGTGGACAAAATGGTGGAAGCAATGATTTCTGCTAAAATCTTAATCAAATAATGAATGGAGACACCAAGTGTGATCAAAACTCTTACAATAAATGCAGCACCTGAGTGTTACATCCGGCAGCAAGAAGATTGTTAGCTGATCCTCCAAATGAAAAGCTGAAAATCTCTTGAGAAGAACCAGAATGAAAAGAAGACACCTGCAGCATTAACAATAAAACAAAAACAAATCAAGAACATAAAAATATGTCCAGACACAGAGGTACCAGTTTATGTATGCAATTAGAGAAATGAACCTGTTGGAATGTGCGGGTGTCCCAAGCTCTAATGGTTCCGTCAGAAGAACATGAATGCAAGACATGAGGAGTTGAAGGACCTGAGAAAGAGATGTGGTTGATAGTTGCAGAGTGGCCCTTGCACTCTCCATAGTACTGACCTGTCACTGGTGAGTACACCTTCACTGCGTTCGTTGACAGAGACACCGCCATTGCTGTCCAATCATCCCTTCCACCAAAAGCCCACAAAAAATTCAAACCCAATAATCATATGACCCAATTTAATCAACTATGTTTGGGTTCAGAGAAAATTTATGAAAAGGAAGAAATTAAAGTGTTTAGCTTAAAGTGGGAAGTGCGAGCTGCATAACACAATTGAAATGTCGAATTGTTTGTTTGGTGGGTTTTATTAGCAGAGTCAATAATTCAATTCTGTGACAGATTTTCAGGATTTTCGTGGGAACCAAACAGAAAGTAAAGGAATATATTTTGAAGCAAGAAGCTAAAACAAAGATTTTACTTGAAGATAATGCTTCCTTCTGAGCACATCTCTCCTTTGTGAACAGCAGATTAAGCAAAACATTGTAGCTTGTTATTTGGAATGCATCTTTCTTGGCATTAAAAGGAATTGCAAAGCTATATAGATGTTAATGTTTTGGCTTGGTCTTGCACATTGCACAGATAGTGAAGTTAGCTTTGAAAATTTGGTATATTAAAGCAGAGTTGGAAAAGCGAGAAGGGTAAGAGAGAGACAGAGAGGAGGCGGATTTGATTAGGTAGGAGTGGATGTATAGATCATGACCATTGCTATAAATTGAACTTCTAATTGATTTAGTTAAGTTACATACAAAGAATTTGTCAAATATGCATGCTACCAACTACAATAAAAAAATGAACGAAAAAGACACAACCTCAAGACTAATCAACAAAACTTAACTTAAATATCCTACTGTGAACCTAAGTTCCTACTATGAATCCACCATAGGAGATTAGTGAAAGAGTTTCCATCATCAAAACCCTTCAAGCTCTTAATCTTCTCCAAAGCACCATCCTTATCGTAAATCCCTTGCAAGGCATAGACAAAACCCTCCCATCCTTCCTCAACTCCTTCTCTACTCAAAGCTGGCAATGCCCATTCCACAATTTCCTTAGCAAAGCCATCATCAGAGAACAAGATCTCAGTGATTGGGGATATGGGCAGCAACTGAATTCCAAGCCTCATTTCTTTTGCCTCTTGAGGAGCAAACCAAAGTCCACTGTCTCTCTTGTTTGCCCATAAAATTCCCACAATCCTATTTTCCTTTGTGAACTCTTCCTCATATAGTGTATCTCCTTCTCTTACATGCCACCACATTTGAGCTGCTTGAATTTCCAGAGCTGTAAGCATTGATCCACTGTTGAAAAGATTGGTGTCTCCATAAGCTAAGCCCATCAATGCAGCTGAGTAGTAAGCATTCACTGCCTCACTTGTGCTCTCTTGGTCCCTTCCATCTCCAAATTCAGCCAGTCCTCCAGCCCATGAGTGTAGTTTGTACAAATCAAAGCATCTCAACCGAGGAAAGTTTGAATTCGATTGGTTGCCCATGTTGATGAAATCTGCTGCAAGAGAGTAAGCTTGAGGCTTGTACTTGCTCCCCCATGCACGGTCAATCTTTGCAAGCACTGAAATACCATAAACAAAATATCCAAGATGATAATGGTGATCATTATAAACTCCAAACCCAAAATCTGCACCGCGATCGGTTGATCCTTGTTGGGTGACAAGTCCACCCCATTTAGGATCATACAGAAAACCATTCCCACTAAAAGTACCATCCAACCATGGCTCAATGGCATCCGCCAAGTATTTCCTAATTGCTGGAACCACATCAAGACAATTCACCTCCTCGGCAATTAAAGCCAACCTTGCTGCTCTGGCAACCAATTTCCCATAAAAGTAAGACGAAGCAGTTGTTATTGGCGTCGAACTAAGAGCCTTAACATCACGACGAAGCGCAGAAACAATTTCAGGGTATGAGGCTTGTTTGACACCTCCAATTGAGTGCCAAGTGACTGATACATTATGAGATTTCAACTCCCACAAATTGCCAACGATACCAACCAGATCACCATCAATGCTCTTGTACTTGAAATCCTCCAAAACAGTAGCGTTAGACAGAAGCTGAAGATGGAGAGGATGAGCTAGCATAAGCAAATCTCCCCGTCCATACTTTTCCCATTTATATTCCAGAGTGAATGGTTTTGTGAACACAGCTTCACCAGAAACAGGGTAAGCAGAACTAAATCGGTCAAGGATTGCTGTGTATTTTGGATCAGAACTTGGCACCAATGCAATCCGAATATTCCCAGAATAGCCATCAAAAGTTAAGGTTGATGGGCTGCTTCTAGTCAAATTAGTTGGGGAGGAGGTGTACATAACCCACGTTTGATTGTTGTCAAGCTGGACAGTGAACTTGGTCTTTGAGTTGCTCGAATAGGATTTGAGGATTGCATGAATGGTTGAGATAGAAACCGCAGTAGGGCTAGACACATTGCAGGTGACATAGGGGCTTCCTCGAGCGAGGAAGAAACGAAGGTTGGAGGAGGGAAAGTCCAAGGTGACACTGAGATCAGTGAAGGCAGAGATTACACGGCTGCTGTTATTTGTTGTAGCTAAGTTGGCGCTGGTTTGGGAGGCAGAGATGGTGAGATCAGGGACAAAGGTTTGGGAGATGAAAGCAGAGGTGGAGGAGAGAGATGGGTAGGAGAGAGAGAGAGAGGATGAGGAGGAGTTGATGCTGTAGGGGTGGAAGTACTCGGGTTTGTCACCATTGTTGAGAGCAAAGTTCTGGAAAAAAGAATTGGTGGGGAGAGGGGTGGTGAGGAGGTTTGCAGAGAAGTAGCTTGAAGGGTCAGGGAGAATTGTGGATTGGGTTGGAGGGAATTGGAATGGGGATGCTGACGAGGTGGTATGTGGAATTAGTGAAAGAGCTGAAACACATAGGATGAGAGCAAAAGAGAAAGCAGAAGTGAGGTTGTTGTTTGCCATTGCTCCTTATTGTGGTGGTGAAGTCTCTCTTCAATTAGCCTCATATTTATAGGTTTTTTCAAGATGTTCCTAGTTCTGTAAGTGTTTCTTTTTTCTGGGTTCCTATTGTAACTAGAGATTAGTGTTGTAGATCTTGATGGGTTCCTATTGTAACTGGGGATTTCTTTCCTAGTTAGATCTTGATCGGTTCCTATTGTAACTAGGGATTTCTTTCCTAGTGTTGTAATCTTGATATATTCCTCCTTATTGAAGGAGACTGATATATTCCTCCTATCGTTGACAGAGACACCGCCAGCCCACAAAAATTCAAACCCAACAAAGAATCGTATAACCCAATTTAATCAAAGAAAATTTACGAAAAGGAAGAAATTGAAGTGTTTAGCGTAAAGTGGGAAGTGCAAGCTGCGCAACGCAATTGAAATGTCGAATTGTTCGTTTGGTGGGTTTTATTATCAGAGACAATAATTCAATTATGTGACAAAGATTTTCAGGATTTTCGTGGGAACCAAACAGAAAGTAAAGGAATATGTTTTGAAGAGAGAAGCTAAAACAAAGGGAACGTACTTGGGGACAATTTGGAAAACGTAGTCATCTCCGAAATTTGTTTGGATAGAGTTTTTTAGCCCGAAACGCCTGAACGAGTTTGGATTAGACTCGGGTTGTTCCTCCACGTCCATGTCCGTAGCTTCCATCTCTCTGTCTGTGTCTCTGTCTGTGTCTCTCCGTCGTGCGAGGCGCTTCTATTTTGAGCCGGCTAAACAAAATTACAAACGCTCTTTTGGGTTTAGGGTTTTAGCTCCGCTATGGTAAAAGTCAACATTTAGTCAACCAATTTATGTCGACATATCCATAATCTAATTAACCCCCAAAGATCCTTTACCAATGATTCTATCTTCAAATTACCCATTTAAAAAGTAAATAAAAAAGAAAATTGGTTAACTAGTGATTTATCCATGAACTTGTACTTAATTTTCGATTTACCTATATATATATTTTTAGAAAATTAAGAATATGAATTTCTTTTTTTTCGCCAATTTCTCCCGTGCCGTCTAAATCCTCAACATTTCATCTAATTTGCCGTTAAATACGAAGACAAATTGATCATTTCTATGTTAAAATAAAATAAAATAAATTGAAATAATAATCAATAATGATAGAAATAAATTTTTTATTATAAAAAACAGAGTAGAGAGAATGTCATCCTCGGACCAACTCCACTTCCTGTAAGCCTCAGACCAACCCCCTTCCAAAATCGAACACATCCCATACAACACCACCAAAACCACCACCATATATTTGAACAAAAAAAACCCATATGCACATATTTGAACACAAAAAAAATCCCAAATCTATTTGATCAAAAACCGCCCCAGAGTCAAAGGGGTTGTGGCGAGGTGGGTGATTTTGTGGGTGTCGGGGATGGACCTGGGGTTTAGGGGAAGAGAGAGAGAGAGTGTGCGTGATGGTTGTGGGGTGGTGGCTGTGGGAAGGTGAGCTGTTGAGAGGGAGAGGGAGGCTGCGATCGGTAGAAGGGTGGTCATGGGTTTGGGGGTGTGTTGCGAAAGGAGAGGCAGCGACTGTGGGGAGGGGAGATGGGTTGCAAATTAGTCTTGGGGTGAGTTGCAGGTGGGGAAGGGGTAGTCAAGTTGGGGGAGAAAAAGAGAGGGGCGGGGTCTGTGGGTAGAATAGGTTTGTTTTGTTCCTTTTTCTTTAATTTTTTAATAATTTAACAGAAAATTGAATGAAATGTTAAACGACAAGGGGGAAATTAGGCGGGAAAAAAATTCATATCCTTAATTTTTTTTACAAAAAAAAGATATAGGGTAAATCAAAAGTTAAGTACAAATTCAAGAAGCAAATCACCAGTTAATCAATAAAAAATTAATCAAATCTAATCTTTATCTTCTCTATTTTTATTAGATTATTTACTTGTTTTTTATTTTTTAAAATTTCTCAGTCCATATGGATCCACCGATTGCCACATCAGCATTTTAATGGAGGGATTAACTAAAGCACTAACAAATGTATGAAAGTGTTCCAAAAATAAACATCAGGCATGAGAATGAGACCCGAAAAACTTCCATGTATGAAAAGCTGAAACTCAGCAAACTTCAAGGTAGTAAACTTCATGACTAGGAATAAAACCCATAGTTCAGATCCACGAAACAAATAGCTAAAAGTACAACACCCTGAGCATTGCCAGTTCTGTAATCCAGAACTCATCATTTTGCTAACATCGAAGATAGAGCAGGATTGCTTAACGCGGTTAGATAAAAACCAGACACCTAGTAACTAAGGCAGAAGAAAAAAATCACTCCATAACCATGCAAGCTTTGGTTGACTGCTACGGTAACATGAAATTATGTGCTCCCTGCAGCTTCCTTTTTCTCTTCCTTCTTCTCTTCCGAAGGATCATCTCCAATCTCTTCTGCTTCGTGTTCTCCCGGCTTTGGCAATTCTAGGTCTGCAATAAAAGGAGTAGTCAAGATTACAGAGGTACCGAACAAGCGATGGTAGCTTAAGAAATCATTTTATTCTCTTTCATCCAACAAATGAACTTATCAAAAGTAATTTTATATGCACCTATAGCAGCTACATGGCCACTCAAGAGGAAAATAATTACAGCAAGAACTTACCCAAACCTCAACTATACAACCTAATGGGTCCTTTCATTTTTGCGGGGGTAGGGATGGGGTTAATGAAGGTACCCAGCACATATATACAACATGAAAGTTGTGTTGTGAATTCTTGACCTACGCTTACTACAATATTGATCTTTACTCAGTCTGCCACTAAGGATTAAGCTAATTTGTCTTCTTACCTTCGTCACTATCATCAAAGTCACCCATTGCATCATCACCTCCCATACCACCAAATTTCTGCATAATCCAAGTAGAGTCAGAACAATGAATATATACGCACGAAAATAATTCAAAATGAAATCCCATAAGTTAGTATATACTAACCGAGAAATCCATCCCTCCCAAATCCAAGTCACTCGGACCTGATCCTGATCAGAACAAGAAGTGGTAATTTAGTAAAATACAAGAAGTATGCCAGCTTTGTCAAATTAAACAGTTCGAAGAAATGGAACAGCATATGCAAGATGTATACCAGTATCCTCGTCTTCATCCACCCATTTGTCCCAATCTACTTTGACATAATGGGGTGTCTTTCCATCTCCACGCAAAAGCTTCTTCCACCAAACTTTCTCTGCCTTCTCCAAGATACAGAAGATACTCCTCACTCCAACATTTATTTTGCTTTCCTATTATAAGGTTATAGGACAGAATAAGAACCCATATAAACGCAAGCATTTTGAAAGAATATCCAAGTATTTAAGATTAGATAAACAAATTATTACCTCCACATTAACCTTATCAAAAAGATCCAGTTTCAGTTCATAATGGTGATTCTCTGCACCGGCACTAGCAGAGAAACTAAAAACTCCATCAGGTTCAAGTTTAACCTTGGCGTCCTTTGCATCAGGCAAAAGCACAGTAATGAAAACCTTGTCCACCCTTTGGGCCCACTTCACCTCAGGATGACGACTGCCACAATTGAAGCATGTCAGCGCAAAATTAGTTTGAAATATGCATCATTAAGCCAATATCACCTAAAGAAAAACTAGAACAGAATTCTCTCCTATCTTCACAATCAATGGCTCAAAGGCTCAGGGTAAGTACATTTCAAATTGACGACCAAATTGTTTGCTTTTTATAAATTTGAGACCAGATATCAACAGAGTGACAAGGCAAACTCAAAGGGACAAATAACTATTCTCAAAATGGTGACGAAATTATGATCATAACATTGATAAATCACAGGCTTCAATCCAAAAACAATACAATGTCCTATATTTTTCCATTAAAAACAAGACGAAAAAAAACCCAGTAAAGCAAACAGAGTCCCATAGAATATCTTCATTTCTTGAACCATAGTCCATGCTCTCTCTTTTTTCTTTCTTTTAAACAGCCAAACATGATTTCAAAACATCAAATTTAAAGAGCTAAACGCACAAGTCTATAGAGAGGAAACGATATCAGAAATATTATATAAATATTGAATATGAAAGAAGAAAAACAATGGCATGAAATGTATCGAGGACGAAATGAGAGGGCGAAAGCAGAAGAAGAAGAGCTTACCTCATATTGTTCTGGGAAGAAGAAAGGAAAGTGTAAAACCCTAAAATAAGAGCAGAGCAAAGAGCAAACCCCCTTGCGAGTCGTGACCTACTACAACAATGACTTTGGATTGTGAGTTACGGCCTTTCGGGATTAAACGAGTACATACAAGAGTGGAGAGACTACGCGATGCTTCTAGACTTCGAGGCATCTGGGCTTCAATTTTTTTTTAATTTTGAGTTGGGCCCAGGCCTATCATTCGATAACCACAAAATTCAAGGCCCAATCTAAACAGCTGTGGCCCATTTTGGTTATTTTGAAAAGGGGTTACTCATTTTCTAGAGGCCCATAGTCCCAGCTTGACTTTCTACGCGGTAGAGTGGACGGCTTAAGTTTAGCCACGTCATGGTGGTCCACGGTCCGATAAGGCGGGTGGATATTATAAGTATTACTATATTAAATTTGGGTGTAAGAGGTGCATTCAATTTCCTCACGCAACTCATGTTTATTGTTTTTTTTATTATTCACAGACACCCATTATTTGGGCTCGTTTGATAACTATTTTAATTCTAGTTTTAAATTTTTTGTTTTAGTTTTTATTTTTTATGATAGAGTATAGAGGAAAATGAGAGTGAGATGATGAGATTGAGAGAGATGATAAAAGGGAAAAGTAACAAAAATGAAAATAATTTTAAATAGATTTCAGTTTTTAGTTTTTGTTTTCACTTTTGTTAATCCTTCCTCTCTCCCTCCCCTCTCATCTTCCCTCTCATTCACACTTATGTTTTCCTTTTGTTTTTCCGATATGCTAAAATGATGGATAGGTCAGTGTGTGAATCTCAATTTAATTGGATTTTGGTGTATCAATTAGTTTGTTTTTTCTGTGCCTGGAATTGTCTACTTAGAAAAGTTCGCGTGGACCATAGAAGTCTACTTGCTTCATTCAATGGATGCTTCAATTTGCAGATCAAAATCCTGCTAGTAAGTTGCTAGGTTCCTACCTAGGCTATCAACTTTCTCAATCACATGATGTCAACTGTGACGTACTCGATTAAAGTTTGTCATGATCGAAGACACTGATACCCTACTCTTGCTGTAACACAATAGGTTTCGTTTGGTAGGTTATATTGGACTGGATGGTATGCATTGAATTTGAAACCTTATCATATTGCTGAGGAGATTATTATAAGACCATTTATCATAGGCAAAATTCAATCAATTCCTGGGTAGGTATGGTCCACATGATAAATACAAATATTATACATTGTCGAGAGCAAGTACCACAGTGGTGGCCTCTCCTTCCCCATGCTTGGCGCCCATGTTCGAAATCCCAACAGATTTCCTTCCTTCTAATGTAACCAAACTATATATATATATATGTATATTGCAAAATGTTAGAGATTTTTGAAAAATGAAAGAAATGCGAAGTTGGCATGCAATGTGTTGTTGTGTTGGATTGAAGAGAAAGAAGGGTGGCCGATTCTATATGCTCATTCCTTGCCGCCTGCTCTGACCAGTCATCTCAATATTTTTTTTCGTTTTCCTTTCTCCCCTATTATCTTGTATATATGAGGGGAAATTTGGTATAGAATAACATTCCAATATTCAAATAGTAAAAAGATGCTATACTGTCTGTCTCGTGTCCAGATGGTACAATAATATTCTAAAATTCAAAGGGAACAAGTAGCACATAATATGGTCAAGTCGCATACAAACTCTGCTTTTAGTGGCAAAGGCCTATTTTTAGGATCTTCTTCCTTTTTAAGTAGGAAGAACATTTGGGAAAGTTTTTATTTTTGTGTTTTTGATGAATTATTTTTATACACGTGTCAATCGTGATTTGCAAGAATGAGAAGTATATTCTTCCAAGAAAGGGAGTAATTTTTGCATGTTTCAGGTACACAACGTGACTGATGTAGCATCTAATACACATGAAACATGTAAAAATATTGTCCAATACACATAAGACATACAAATAAAATATTTCCATATATTTCATATGTACTAAATGGTACACCGGCTGCATGTTCCTATGATAAATGCATCTATTAGAACCACAAATGCCATTAAAAATAAACAAAAACAAAATTGACATGTAACAGAAAGTAATTGGTATACTTTTCTTTGTGGGACATCATGGAGCTGGCTTTCTTGGCAATGATTCGGAATAGATGAAAAGGAACATCTTATTTTCCAGCATTGAAAAAAAAGGGGTAAAGAGTCACGTCTCTACTTATAAATTGAGCAATAATTTCTGTTTAATATGTCGCATTCGACGAACAAACTAAACGTGAAAGTAGTCTACTGACCTTTCCATTTTTGTGAACGACTAAGAACCCACATGAGAGATAAATTTGGTATCACAAGTGCAATGTACAATATCTCTTTGTCGTTTGTCATTTACTTAATGAAGCAAGATACCCTAATGTAATTAGTAATGATTTAAAAAGGAAATATGAGGTGCCCTAAATATTCCTTTATTTATCAGTATTAATTCTTTTATACCTAATTAATTAATATATTATACATATGATATGACTGAAAACATAGGCAAGTTGCAACAAACCTGTCACGTGGGTGTATGCGAAACAAATAGTTTTTTTTTTTCTGCTTTCAGATTTGGAATTTGGATGCTCAAATATTTATTTATTATGTATATATATATATTTTCATTAATGAACCATTATGCATGGCGGTCTGAAAATACTCATGTACAACAGTACAAAGAACAAGCAAGTAATTAGTTCCACGCGATGCCAATATGTCTACGCTCCCACTCGCCGTGAATCCAACTATCCTCCACCGACGTAGTGGAGACGTGTGAACTTTTCAACTGGGAGTTTGGTGAACTGGACGAACTAAATTCTGCCACGTCATCGTAAGGGATTTGGCTGTCCACTGCCAGTCTCGTCTAAACGGAAAGTGGTGGCCACGCAGGGGTTTCTCTTTATTTAGAAGCCCAGAAAATGCCAGGACGTATATGGTTAATAATAAGTTAGGAACAAACTGGTGCTTCAATTTGACCTCAGAAAAAAAAAAGATAAAGGAAAAGAAAACTGTATTTTTCTGTCTTTCTTCCATTCTCTATCGGAGGGCAGTGAAGAACACCGTTTATCCACGTCTTTCACTCGCGCCATTAATAAATTCTGGTCCAACTACAAAAAGACCGTGAAGCTAATAATACATAGACGCCCAGAAAAATTAATATCACACAAACAAAAACATCTCTCTCTCTCTCTCTCTCTCTCGTTCTCTCTTTCTCTCCCTATATGCAGGCAGAGAGAGCAAGGGAGCAGATAAAAGGGACACGTTTCTAGTGAAGCGTGTTTGGTGCCTTGGGATTTTCCCTTGGACTAAAATTATTGCAGCAGCAGCAGCTTCGAAATCTGAGTGTGCTTGCTTGCTTGTGGTCGTCCACCATTCAACCTGAACCTGCACCTTCATCTTCACATAGCTTCAAGCGTCTTTCAACCCAGGTAATTAGTTGATGATGGGTCTTTTTTGCCTTTTGCATGCCTCAGCTTTAGCCCTCGTTTTTTGCCTTCTGCACAGTCAAGTTCACTTTTTTTTTTCCCCTTTAAAAAAAATATTGTTTCTGTGGTTGATGTTAAAGTTTTCGTTGATGAATGGATTGGATTTGAATGGTAGCTTTGATTATTCTCCAACTACCCCCTTATACACAATGATTTAATAGTTATTATATCATATTCATCTGATTTGTCCGCCTCTCAGTTATAATTAATTAATTCATACTTCGTTATTTTATCATTTCACTTTTTTCTTCGTCTCAAGTTTCATCTTCGACAAGAAATGGCTTTGAAAATAACCAAACATTGTTTGAATGTTAGGACAAACGTAGCTATCAAAACACTTGTTGTTGGTTTTGTGTTGTTCATGTGCTCTGCCTGGTTACAGCTCTCCAAAGCGCATAACGTTGTGAATGTTCCAAAAAAGTCAACACAATGTCATTATAATGTTCTGCTTCGGTCCAAAGGGTGACTCGGCACAAATCTTTGCCTCCTGATATTCCTCATACTTTCTTCACGATTTCCAAGTACTTTACACTGAGGACTAAATAATTATAATATGTTCTTTACCCGATGATAGTTGGTTTTTAGTTTTCATTCAATTATTTTCAGCTTTCTTCTTTAAAGAAAACAAATTTTAAATACCATCTTTTTGGGGTATGAGACGCTGGCCTATTATGTTTTGTGACTTTCTGCTTATATCATTGAAGCAGTTTTAAGGTGTTTGCTTTCTTTCTTTCTTTCTTCTTATAATTTTGAATTCATTTATGCTAATTTCCTTTTATATACAAGGAGGGCCAGTGCTTACACATTGTACATAAATTTCTGTTAATTTTTCAGGGAAAGAAGAAGAAGAAGAAGAAGGACATGGGTGCAATTTCAGCATAAGAGAGTGTAACTTTAGCCTCTGCTGCAAACTTTGTTACCATGTCTTCCGGGTCCTGGATCACGTCTAGTTCCTGTTCACCATCTGTGGTTCAATCCTCAGAAGATACCTCTGTAGCAGCAATATTTCAATGGCTAAGATTCATCTTCCTCTCTCCCTGTCCTCAGAGAGCTCTGCTTTCCTCTGTTGACCTCTTGTTCTTGCTCTCACTCTTAGCATTTTCAATACAAAAGCTTTACTCAAAGTTCGTCTCCAATGGCCACCAAAGCTCGGACCTCAACAAGCCCCTCATCAGGAACAGCAGAGCTCATCTCAGAACCACTATCTGCTTTAAACTCTCTTTGACCCTGAGCGCTCTGTTAACCCTATGTTACACTGTTGTTTGCATTTTGGCATTCACTAGAAACACTGAGTTGCCATGGACACTCGTAGATGGGCTATTTTGGTTAGTTCAAGCCATCACTCATGCAGTGATCACAATACTAATAGCCCATGAAAGGAGATTTGAAGCTGTTAAGCACCCGCTATCACTTCGAGTTTATTGGGTTGCAAACTTCATTGTTATTTCTTTGTTTACAGTCTCCGGAATACTTCGTTTGGTGTATGTCCAACAAAATCAGGACCCTAGTTTTAGATTGGATGATGTTGTTTCCCTGGTGTCTTTCCCTCTATCAATTGTTCTTCTTGTTATTGGCCTTAGAGGATCAACTGGGATTGCAGTGAATAGAGAATTCGAACAAGGTATGAATGGAGAAAGCAATTTATACGAACCCCTTTTGAGCAAATCCAATGTCACTGGCTTTGCTTCAGCTTCCATAATTTCTAAGACCTTTTGGATTTGGATGAATCCTCTGCTCAGAAAAGGGTACAAAAGCCCTCTAAAGGTTGATGAAGTCCCATTGCTTTCCCCGGAACATAGAGCTGAAAAAATGTCGGCTCTCTTTGAATCAAACTGGCCAAAACCACAAGAAAAATTGGACCATCCAGTTCGAACCACATTACTCCGGTGCTTCTGGAAAGAAGTTGCTTTCACAGCTTCCCTTGCAGTAGTGAGGCTTTGTGTCATGTATGTAGGGCCTGTGCTTATCCAAAGTTTTGTGGATTTCACCGCGGGAAAAAGAAGCTCGCCTTATGAAGGATACTACCTTGTATTGATCCTTCTATGTGCAAAATTTGTTGAAGTTTTAAGCACTCACCAATTTAATTTCAACTCCCAGAAACTTGGGATGCTCATTCGTTCCACTCTTATTACTTCTTTGTACAAGAAGGGTTTGAGGTTGTCATGCTCAGCCCGGCAGGCTCATGGGGTTGGACAGATTGTGAATTACATGGCTGTTGATGCCCAACAGCTCTCTGACATGATGCTACAGCTGCATGCTATATGGATGATGCCAGTGCAACTTGCCATTGCATTGTTCCTTCTGTATAACAGTCTTGGTGCTGCAGTGCTCACATCTGTAGTAGGAATCATGTGTGTTCTTGTGTTTGTTGTGCTTGGCACGAGACGGAACAACAGGTTCCAGTTTAATGTGATGAAGAATCGGGATTCAAGAATGAAGGCAACAAATGAGATGCTTAACTACATGCGTGTGATCAAATTCCAGGCTTGGGAGGAGCACTTTAATAAGAGAATTCTCGCTTTCCGCGAGTCAGAGTTTAGCTGGCTGACCAAGTTCTTGTACTCAATCTCTGCCAATATTGTGGTTATGTGGTGCACCCCAGTAGTTATATCAACTCTCACATTTGGCACTGCACTCTTATTGGGTGTCCGACTTGATGCGGGGACAGTGTTCACAACCACAACCATCTTCAAAATTTTGCAGGAGCCCATCAGGACCTTCCCACAATCTATGATTTCAATTTCTCAAGCTATGATATCTCTTGGGAGGTTGGACCGTTATATGATGAGTAGAGAGTTGGTGGAGGATGCGGTGGAGAGAGACGAGGGCTGTGACAGTAGAACTGCTGTGGAGGTTAAAAATGGCGCGTTTAGCTGGGATGATGAAAGCAAAGAAGAGGATTTGAAACACATAAATTTGAATGTCAATAAAGGGGAGCTAACGGCTATTGTAGGGACAGTGGGATCTGGAAAGTCTTCCCTTCTAGCCTCAATTCTTGGTGAGATGCACAAGTTATCCGGAAAGGTATGATTTGATACCAATAAACCCTTTTCTAGATGTCTCTTATGACATAAAATCCCTCCAATGAACCATAAGTTTATAACCAGGTCATAACTCACTCAAAAAGCTTCAGTTTAATCAAGTACTTGTTGAATTAATAAACTTTTTGAATAACAGGTACGAGTTTGTGGCACAACTGCCTATGTTGCTCAAACATCATGGATTCAAAATGGGACCATTGAAGAAAACGTCTTATTTGGTTTGCCTATGGACAGAGAGAGATACCAGGAAGTTGTCAGGGTTTGCTGCTTGGAGAAGGACTTGGAAATGATGGAGTTTGGAGATCAAACTGAGATAGGAGAGCGTGGCATCAACCTAAGTGGTGGCCAGAAACAGAGGATACAACTTGCCAGGGCTGTATATCAAAATTGTGACATATATCTTCTCGACGACGTTTTCAGTGCTGTCGATGCTCATACTGGATCAGAAATATTTAAGGTGACATTGCTTTAGATTTTCTTCTACATTTGATAGTAAAGAAATGATTTACTTTTGATTCCACAGTGATTGAGCGGTTTTGCTTGCTCTTACAATGGTGGTTTGAACACTATTCAATTTTCATAGTCTAAATGTGATGAAAATAAATAAGGTCTTGTAAAGAATAGCAGTTCAAAGTGATACCCATTGAATATGATTTGTATGCATAATGTTCTACTGATCATGATTTATACTTTTCTGCAGGAATGTGTGAGGGGTGTGCTTAAAAATAAGACAGTTTTACTGGTAACTCATCAAGTTGACTTCTTGCATAATGTTGATCTTATTTTGGTAGGTATTTGAGAATCTTTTTCATTTTGGTTTCTCATCAGTTTAGTGACCAAAGAAATTATAATTGGAATTTGCACATGTATCTCTCCTACTTATATATTTATTAAAACTTATTACCTCCAAATAATATCAGGTCATGAGAGATGGGATGATAGTACAAGGAGGAAAGTATAATGAGTTGCTAAGCTCTGGCCTGGATTTCAAAGAGCTAGTAGCTGCCCATGAAACCTCCATGGAGCTTGTAGAAATGAGCCCCACTATTCCCAGCAAAAGTTCCCCCAGCCCTCAAATATCTCCTCAACCATCTTCAAACCACCGGGAAGCCAATGGTGCAAACAACTCTTTAGGCCAACCAAAGTCTGATAAAGGGACTTCTAAACTCATCAAAGAAGAGGAGAAAGAAACAGGCAAAGTGAGCTTGCACGTTTACAAAGTTTATTGCACAGAGGCTTACGGATGGTGGGGTGTGGTGTTGGTGTTGTCATTGTCTCTCTTGTGGCAAGCAACTCTAATGGCGGGTGATTACTGGCTGTCCTATGAAACTTCAGCAGATCGTGCAGTGGCATTCAAGCCATCTGTGTTTATAACCGTCTATGCTATTATTGCTGCTATTTCATTTCTTGTGGTATCGGTAAGAGCATTTTCTGTGACGATTGTGGGGCTTTCGACAGCTCAAATTTTTTTCAAGCAAATTCTTCACAGCATCCTGCATGCCCCCATGTCATTTTTCGATACTACACCTTCTGGAAGAATTCTGAGTAGGGTAAGAGTTTGTGAGTTAGAATTGCTTTCCTTTTCTTTTTCTATTTAAGCATTAGTTTTTGTCATACTTGATGTTGTCTTATTTTCTAACTGATGAGAATATATCCCCCACCAGGCATCAACAGATCAGACGAATATCGATCTATTTCTTCCCTTCATGTTGGGTGTTACCGTTGCCATGTACATCACTGTGCTTGGCATCTTTATCATCGTATGCCAAAATTCGTGGCCAACAATATTCTTGCTGATTCCACTTATTTGGCTTAATATATGGTACCGGGTATGTTAATTCTTTCTATCATGCTGTTGATATTTAACTATAATGTTGCAATGAATGTGTTAGACATATGTGAATGGATTGCACTGAAGCACCCTTTTCTATGATCTTGGTCATGCATGTTATTGGTCATCAAGAATAAATAATATGATTGTGGCCATGTATTGGTCATTTTAAATAATGTGTATGAATCCAACTCCTGATCCTTTGAATTACTGGCAAAGTTTGACATTTTGGCTTATCCATGAATGCAAAAAATGTCAAACTTGATGGCAAAAACTTTGTTTTAAACCAAAACCATATGACTCTGTAACTATTGGTGTCGCCTTAATTATATGCTGAAGATCTTTCTTCTGTTTGGATTTTAGGGTTACTATCTTGCATCATCTCGTGAATTAACTCGGCTGGATTCAATCACAAAAGCTCCTGTTATCCATCACTTCTCAGAAAGCATATCAGGGGTGGTGACGATCCGCTCTTTCAGAAGGCAGAACATGTTCTCCAAGGAAAATGTTAAACGTGTTAATGCCAATTTACGTATGGATTTCCACAACTACGGATCCAATGAGTGGTTGGGTTTCCGTTTGGAGATGCTTGGGAGTTTAATTCTCTGCATTTCCACTGTATTCATGATCTTATTGCCAAGCAGTATTATAAAGCCAGGTATGTAAATCCTCCCATCCCTTTTTAATTGTGCAACACTCATATCTAGCACTTGATTCATGGTCACTCGTGATATGCGATGCCGAAATAAATAATAATTATGCTTCAGTTTATGGTTATTATTATAATGTCTTATTGATTTGAGGTGTGTGTTAGCATCTTATTTTGACACATCTGATATAAATTAGCTGCAGTAGATGAGTGTCTATTTCAGAAATTTGGCTAAATCAGTTATTCCTTCATGGTACAGAGAATGTTGGTTTAACTCTCTCCTACGGATTGTCCTTGAACGGTGTGCTGTTCTGGGCCGTTTATATGAGCTGCTTTGTTGAAAATAGGATGGTTTCGGTTGAGAGGATAAAACAGTTTACAAACATCCCATCAGAAGCAGAATGGGAGATAAAAGACCGTGTTCCTCCTTCAAATTGGCCTTCCCAAGGCAATGTCGAGCTCAAAGATTTGCAGGTAGTTTATCTTCAATTCTGTTTATATCTTCTGAAAAAATAAAGCCAAACTTACATTCCATGAGCTGCTACACTCTAGCCATTTGACTTCCAAATGGTATCTTTGTAGTACATCTGCCATGGATAGTGTAGTGGAAGGAGAAATGAAGTGGTCTGAATGCAAGTTGTTATTAGTTGGTCATCTCCATTACTTTTTCCCCAGCTAAAAGGGCCCTGTTCCATTTGATGATGTTTTTAATTTTATGGAAAACAGGTCAGATATCGTCCAAATACACCCTTGGTTCTCAAAGGCATTAGTCTAAGCATCCACGGGGGTGAGAAGATTGGTGTTGTCGGTCGAACAGGGGGCGGGAAATCAACTTTGGTCCAAGTGTTCTTTAGGCTGGTGGAACCGTCAGGGGGCAAAATCATCATCGATGGGATTGATATAACCACATTAGGACTTCATGATCTCAGGTCCCGCTTCGGAATCATTCCTCAAGAACCTGTACTTTTTGAGGGAACTGTGAGAAGCAACATTGATCCAGTAGGAATTTATTCAGATGAAGAAATTTGGAAGGTAAACACATTGCTACCTGGTTTCCTGATTACATAGGAATAACCCATGTCAGGTTATATGAAACAATGCTGTATGTTTATTTGTTAAATCTTAATGTAATTTTTTTTGGGTAGAGCCTTGAACGCTGCCAACTTAAAGATGTGGTAGCTGCAAAACCTGATAAACTCAATTCTTTAGGTATGTGACTCTCTGGTTATTGAAAACCTAATGGAACTGACATGCTAGCATTAGGATTAGGTACTGACTGTTTCCATCAAATTTTAATTTAATAGTGGCTGATGACGGAGGCAACTGGAGTGTGGGGCAAAGACAGCTTCTCTGTTTGGGTCGAGTCATGTTAAAGCACAGCCGGCTCTTGTTCATGGACGAGGCCACGGCTTCAGTTGATTCACAGACTGATGCTGTAATACAAAGGATCATCCGAGAGGATTTTGCTACATGTACAATAATCAGCATTGCTCACAGAATACCTACAGTGATGGACTGCAATAGAGTTTTAGTAGTAGATGCAGGTTAGTGCTCTTTCGACCTTGTTGCGTTCGGCATTTATTTACCACACGAAAATTGTAGCTCATATTCTTTTGTTTCTGTGTTTTTAACAGGACTGGCTAAAGAATTTGACAAACCGTCCCGCTTGCTTGAGAGACAATCATTGTTTGGGGCATTGGTTCAGGAGTATGCCAACCGTTCATCAGGACTATAAGCAACCATCTTTGGTTTCTCTATCGTTGCTTCCGGTGATTCCTTTTGTGCTTGCAAATCTTCCAAGAATCACTGCCTGCATTTTTCCTGGAAAAATAACACCAAAGGGTGACATAAAGGGAGTCTTCCCATCATTAAAATAAAAATGAAGATCCGCCCTGTGCTGGAATTATCAACACAATGGAAGTACAAATGAAGCCTACCTCTTAGACTAGTGGCAATCACTATATGAAGTAGCTAATCTAATCCAGTTTACCACCTACAGTTCTCTATTCTGTTTAGAATATGTTTAGATGAGAACATTATATTTCCTGAAACCTTCTTGACAAGGGTGCTGTTTGTGCAAATCAGTTGTATTATGTCTCTCTCTCATTTTCCAATGATCTTTTTATATAAAATTGAGTAAAAATGAAGTTTTCTCAACGCCTGGTATCTTTAAGTGGTAGATTGGTAGATTATTGGTTAAGCATGCATGTCTCACAATTCCATTCAAAATTTCCATAAGTCAAAACAAGTCTTGGCCTCATGATTTCCAAGTAATTCACAGTGAAGATATTTTTTTATTATAAAATTGATATAAAAGAAAAACAGAATTAGACATGAAAACCGCGACCGGCTATACTCTTCGAATATTCGAATATTTCGTGGATGTAGTCTTAAAAATTATATTTAAACAGTACAGCCGACCGGCTATACTCTTCGAATATTCGAATATTTAACAGTTTAAGCCGACGGCTAACTATATTTTAAAGGTATAGCCATGCGGCTATACTCTTTGAATAATAGTTTAAAGTACAGCCACGGCGATACATGAATATCTAGTATTTTAGGTTAGCCGTCGGCGACTCTTAAAATTATTTCACATATATATAGAGTTTTAACGTATAGCCGCCCGGCTATACCGTGGCTGTACTCTTTAAATATCTTTTTTATTTTATTTTAAGGCGTCTTTAAATATATTTTTTAATTTAACGAGTATAGCTGTTCGGCTCTACGTTTTAAATATATTTTTTAGTAGTATAGCCGCCCGGCTATACACTCTAATATCAATATTTGCGGAAGCTGCATCTTCTGTTATGAAAAAACAAGAAGAAGCGATGCCATTGCCAACTGAAGAATGTTGACACCGAAAACTCTTCTGGGTGGATCTAATGTATGATATTTAACCTTACCCTGCTCTAACATGTAAAATTTGATGTCATTTTCCAATCCTTTTAATTAGTCACACACTTGTAAATGGCTTTGGTAATTATCAAGGAAAGTCTCAATGAGGATGAACAATGAAAATGCCTTTTGTTCATTTGTTTTAATAAACATGTTATTGTAGTAACAGGATTATTTCAAGTGGATCTGTTGCACTTGACCAGCAATTTGAATGAGCTCATTTAACTTGTTTTTATGGTGATTTAGGTAAGTTAAGCTTGTATATTGTCTCTATTGCCTATGTAGTCTCATACTGATGAGTTATATTGATAAAACGTTTGACTTGGCATTTTGCAAATCGCAAAACCTCACTCACTATCATCAACAAAAATTGAAAATTGTATTACTGCCTGTAAAAACGGTTTGGGCTTAGAAATGTACATTGAATAACCTGTGAGAATAATTGCTACAACTAGATACTCTACAATGCAATGTTTCTCAGATATCATAGCTCATCCTTTGGCGGTGGTTCGACTTCAAGGCACTTTTCATCCCAGTAGTAGGGGAACTTTAATTTTGCTGCAGTGTGAGGCATGAACCAGTCCTCATATACGAACCTGAAACGAAGGAAAGAACTTAGAAGCATCATTCAAGCAAAATGAAAAAGTAAAAAATAAAACATAGAAAGTGTAATAAAATTGAACCATCTTGGCAATCCAAAAAAGAAGAAATAAATAACCTAGAATGAGAAAATGAAAGAATGTGTCTGCATATCATGGTCCTCTTTTTGGATAATGAACATGAAGCAATTTCAAGAAGTACAGATAATAGTAAACATTGAAGATGAAAGAAGATAGATTGCATATGCTTTAACTGGGGGGACGCCCTTTCACTTGTATGCAGGCTTCAACATTGTCTTGCTTTATGTATATCCGCTACATGCGGAGTTTCCAGATATGTTACAATGGATAGCTGATTTCATTGGTCTATTCAAGATAACTTTTCATTCGGATTGGACTGAAGTTTGTTCGAGCTTCTCTCTTTTACTTTTCTACATCATGGTTTGTCTATCTTTTATGACATCTACAAATCCAACACAGTTTATGTAGCAGGATACTTGAAAACCAGTGACTTCAGCATCTCTACAGTGTAGGTTCTGCAAGTTGATCGCAGATTTGGATTATGTGCAACAGAGAATCTTATGTTACTTATTAAATGTGTGTGTCATCCTTGCTACTTAGCTACGTAAGTGTTTCAATTCTTAAAATCCTTGCCGCATTGCTTACCTTGCTGTGGTTTTACAGTACAAGATCATCAGACTAGGAAGGTTGATTCACCAGTGACCTGCCACATGACTGTGAAAACAGTGTAATCCTAATTCCACGCCAACCGAAAGCTAATTATCTTTCAATTTCGAACCAACTTAAGTCAGTTCCGGTACACCAAGAGGTACCCTTCCAGGATGTGGCATCCAAGGGTAGGCGCCAGGGAGCTAGGCCGCATCTGGGAGCCCGCCTAGGCGGCCCTAGGCGGCCCTAGGCGGCTCTAGGCGGCTCTAGGCGGCCTAGGCGGCCCTAGGCGGCTCTAGGCGGGTCTGGGCGGGCGTTTTGCCTTTGAGGAGTGGAGGAAGGGCGGTTGAAGTGCGCAGGATCCGCTGCTTGTTAGGAAGAAAGACGGAGAGAGAGAGAGAGAGGAAGGAGAAGGCGACGCTGGCATCCAAGGGTAGGCGCCAGGGAGCTAGGCCGCATCAGGGCGCCCGCCTAGGCGGCTCTAGGCGGGTCTGGGCGGGCGTTTTGCCGTTGAGGAGTGGAGGAAGGGCGGTTGAAGTGCGCAGGATCCGCTGCTTGTTAGGAAGAAAGACGGAGAGAGAGAGAGAGAGAGGAAGGAGAAGGCGACGCTGGGAAGAAGAAGACATCTGACCCAATTTTTATATGTGTACAGTATAGCCGCGCGGCTATACTATTAATTTGACAAAAAACAAAAAAAACACGGAGTATATAACATCTGTAGTAGGAATCATGTGCGTTCTTGTGTTTGTTGTGCTGGGCACGAGACGGAACAACAGGTTCCAATCTAATGTGATGAAGTGTTGGGATTCAAGAATGAAGGCAACAAATGAGATGCTTAACTACATGCGTGTGATCAAATTCCAGGCTTGGGAGGAGCACTTTAATAAGAGAATCCAGCCTTTCCGCGAGTCGGAGTTTAGCTGGCTGACCAAGTTCATGTATTCAATCTCTGCCAATGTTGTGCACCCCAGTACTTATATCAACTCTCACATTTGGCACTGCACTCTTATTGGGTGTCCGGCTTGATGCCGGCCCGAGACATTGTTCAGAACCACAAGCATCTTCAACATTTTTTGGGATCCCATCAGGACCTTCCCACAATCTATGATTTCAATTTCTCAAGCTATGATATCTCTTGGGAGGTTGGACCGTTATATGATGAGTAGGGAATTGGTGGAGGATGCGGTGGAGAGAGGCAAGGCTGGCTCTTCAAATTTTTTTTATTTTTTATACCAGTGATATTGGAGAATGAGAATTTAAATTCTTTCTGATACCTCCCATTCTAATGATTTCCAATTATTAGTCCATTAGGCAAGAATAAAAAATGGATTTTATTTATAAGAAATAATACGGGTTAAACCCATAAATACAACAACAAAAAAAGGGGATCCACCAACATTTTGGGGGATAAAAGAATCTTGAATTTCGTAGTATAAAATGCTTGTGTGTAAGAATTTACTTAGAAGTATCATTCAAGCAAAATGAAAAAGTAAAAAATAAAACATAGAAAGTGTAATAAAATTGAACCATCCTTGGCAATCCAAAAAAGAAGAAATAAATAACCTAGAATTGGAAAATGAAAGAATGTGTCTGCATATCATGGTCCTCTTTTTGGATAATGAACATGAAGTAATTTCAAGAAGTATATATAATAGCAAACATGGAAGATGAAAGAAGATAGATTGCATACACTTTAACTGGGGGACGCCTTTTCACTTGTATACAGGCCTCAACATTGTCTTGCTTTATGTGTATCAGCTACCTGTGGAGTTTCCAGATATGTTACAATGGATAGCTGATTTCATTGGTCTGTGCAAGATTACATTCAGATTGGACTGAAGTTTGTTCGAGCTTCTGTCTTCTACTTTTCTACATCATGGTACGTCTATCTTTTCAGTGGAACAAAAGGTTTAACCTAATAAAACTAATCCTTCATTTCCAACCATTACAACTGACCACCAAATTGAAACATGCAATCTCAGTCAAGCAATAATATTAATCTAATTCAGGATATTTTTTAAGGCCATCCATATACCTATTATAGAGGACTAAGAGATTTAACTTATGGAGATAACCCATTAAAAAAATTAAAACAAAAAAGAAGGTAAATTCTGAGTTCATTCAATTGATGTCATTCCTGAGCATTTTACCTTGACGTGCTGCTCTTTTACCTCGCCCTATCCATAACCGAGCATACTCTGCTGCATTATTTGTCAATTCCTGCAACTGGACAGGTATTGAAGTTAAAACTGTATAGGCGCAACCAATATGAGGGGGGAAAAACATGGAAGAACTTTGTCCTACATCTTCCTACAGTGATGCATGTTACACTTCAGGATATTAATACACTAGCTACAGGGCCTTTTAGCAATGACATTATTAGACTTAATTCAGTGACAACTATAATACATTTGAAGATTTACAACTAAATTCCATTAGGTCACATGTCACATGTAAAATAAGATGCCTCATCCACAACACTTTAAGATCTGATTTTTGTATCCCAAGTTTTGCCAATTGAAGTTGAAAACTACGCAACTTTGCATCTAGAAAAATGTGTGACCAATTTGTAAATAAAAAAATTTAAATAAATAAATAAATAACTCAAAAGAATTGATAAGCACCAGATCAAGTTTAACTCAAGCTTTTTACTATTCTCTACAACAAAAAATTTAAAAATAAAATATAAAAGAAAAGAGCACACTCTAATAGAGAGATTACAGCAAACCAAATTGTCATGAACTTACGTCTGCTCTCTCTCTAGACCATTCTGGTGGATATATGTCCTGTATCCATACGGTAGAGCACATCAAAAGACAAAAATATTGAACAAGAGCAGTAACTAAAGATCAAATGAATGGCTAGACATCTCATAAGACAACTCATCCATCTTGGTCCCAAGATCGAATTATACGAAACTGTCAGTGACTTTCAATCTGCATGAAATAGTATTATTATAAGTGTGTGAATGGATCATTAAAAAAAAACATCATAACTTCAAACAAAATACGTTCTGATATGGAAATATTTATCATAGATAAGCCTAATAGTTAATTTGCAACCTCGGGTGTATAAATAAAGACAAAAAATAAAGGATAATTGTTCATTAAATGAAAAGTAGATCAGTTTTAGCATTCATAATGCATTAAAACAATGTAAACAGAGCGCAAAAGTAGAGATTGAAACTTATACTTTGGGTCAAACTTTATGTACCTTATGAAAGTTAAAAGGGAAAGAAAAGGACCAGTGACACTAATCTACCGTTTCCATCCGACAGTTGCCTTCCATTATACTCCTTATCCGTTGTTTAAGTGACAAGGTACAAGCAAAAATCTATGAATATTCAACAAAAACAACAAAACACATGGATCACATGGACCGTAGAAAAGTACCAAGTAGGCATACAAAACTTGCTAGATAACATTTTCAACATAGTTATTTTGCAGCAAATGCACTTCTACGTTTAAATATTTTATGAAAGTCATATGTGAAAAATACAAACTGCTAACCAACTTACCATAAGTCTATACCGAGGTTCAAAAATGGGTAGCAGAAACTTCTGAAATGGGAGGACACCATCCATTACAAAGAGTGGCATCATATCAACACCAAAGTTTGTCATTGTATCGTTCTCCAACTTCCTTGCGGCAAATTCCTCGGGGAATTTCTTTTGTTTAATGTCATTAAGTGTCACAATGGGAAAAACAAAAAGAAGATATTGAAGGTGTCAGAACTGAAGCAAACAATCTTGGTAAACTCTGAAAGCTATAACACTAATTAAGCACAAAAAATTAGAATGCACATATCATTCTAATTTCATATTACTTGGAATTTTTTTTTCTTTCCAAAATCTAGAAACCACAAATCCACTAATTATCATACTCTGTAAAAGTGAGAATGCCAGACTTAATCTATAATAGGTGGAACTCCTGGGGGATGCGCAACCATGTCCATTACAAACAGCATAGGTATAGAAAACCATAAAGCAACAATTCTGATGTCAAATAATACAAGCATCTCATTCAATTATTACAAGCACATGTTCTAGGAGTAATGAAAAGAACTGTTGGGCACAAAGGACATTTGTTACCTAGGAAAATTAACACAAGTCAAGGACTAAAAAGGGATTAGAAGATAGATATAGACTAACTCAATTAAATAGAATCAATAACAGCAAAACACTCACCTCGATCCATTGACTGAAATAGGCATGAAATTCTGAAAACATTCCTGAAAAGGATTGCTACAGAATACCACACAAAAGATAAAATAATATAACATTTTAGAATTTCACAAAACCAAATACAATAGCCAGCCAGCTGGTATTACACAATATATACTTAATATCTATGTTTTGTTAAATAAACATAATTCCAGTAAACAAATTACTCAATTTCTTCCTGGTTTCTCAACATTTTCTCAGCAACCAAACAAGAGAAGCCACAGCACAAACGCACACTCACCGAAATATAGTCGTCCGTGTCACCAGAGGTCCATCTTTGTCATTCAGACCGGCATGGTGTAATCCAATACCAAACTGCAATGTGTGCCCCAGGTTAAAGAACCATCTGCTGGGCTTCTTCTGGCATACTAAGAAACTGCCTTGGATGTTCATCTGACATTGCCAACTTCAATAACAGAAAAGCACAAACAAAAATCGAATCAACACAGCAGCCGAACCGAAGAAAAAAAATCCAAGCTTGAGTTGAGAGAGAGGCTCAAGACCGAGTATTTGAATTTTCAAGATTGGACTGCGAGTGCAAGCTTCGTGTTCGTTTCTCTGTCTCTTCATTTCACTCGCGCACCACATAACTCTGCGAGTGCAAGCTTCATCTGTGTTCATTTGAAAAAAAAAGGACGCCCAGACCCGCCCAGGCCGCCTAGGTGCCGCCTAGAACCGCCCAGGCCGCCTAGGCGCCGCCTAGAACCGCCCGCCCCTAGGGCCGCCTAGAACCGCCCAGGCCGCCTAGGCGCCGCCTAGACCAGCCCAAGCTGCCTAACTCCCTTATAGCATCAGAGTTATCTTAATTAGTGGAGATTTCAATAGCTGAATGACATTTGATGGTTTTCATACAGAGAGTCCAATCCAATCCAATCAACACAGCAGCCGAAACGAAAGAATTTTTTTTTTAAAGCTTGAGAGAGAGAGAGAGAGAGAGTCTTTGAAGCTTGGAAGCGCTTATAGAGAAGCGAAACGGCCGCGACTGCGAGTGCAAGTGCAAGCTTCGTGTTGGTTTCGAATACATTTGAAGCGTATAGCCGGGCGGCTATACCTTTAAAATATTCGAATATATTCAAGGAGTACAGCCGCACGGCTATACCGTTAAAATAATATATTTAAATAGTACAGCCGCCGGCTATACTCTTTAAATATACAATTTTGTCATGATATTTTAGGGCTTAGGGCTAAAATACAACTTTAGCTAATTAGGATAGAGTTATTTCTTCAATTATTTTATTTATACCAGTGATATTGGGGAATGAGAATTTAAATTCTTTCCGATACCTCACATTCTAATGATTTCCAGCTATTAGCTCATTAGGCAAGAATAAAAAATGGATTTTATTTATAAGAAATAATACGGGTTTTAAACCCATAAATGCAACAACAAAAAATAAGAATCCAATCCAAAGGTTTTGGACCTTTCTACACATTACCAGTTACAAGATTTTTATTTGTGGCAGCTCTTCTTGCCAATTAATTTTACGATTTTTAGCACCTTTCTACACATTACCTGTTACAAGATTTTTAGCAACCTTGTAAAATTCAAAGATGCAACTTCATAACATCCTCAATTTTGGCATTACCATACAAAGTTTTGGACCTTGAGTAGACCAGGTAGCGGTGGCTAGAGCATTTTATCAAATAGTTTTGCGATGAACTAGCAGTGTTAGAACAGCTACCAAGTTCTAACTCCTGTCCTCTTCAGAAAAACAAAAGAAAAACATTCTGGGGATAATCTAACTAAAAAACGCAATGGCTGCAAAATTTAAATAATAACTATTTTATTGTTGTCTTGTAAGTT